AGGTGTACTGACGGGCAATCTGATGCTATCTGAGAGAGGAGTGAAAACCACGGGAGCACAAATCACGTATATATATATATATATATATATATATATATATATATATATATATATATATATATATATATATATATATATATATATATATATATTATATATATATATATATATGTGTATGTATGTATGTATGTATGTATATGATTTTGTGCACCTGTGCCGCCCTGTAGCAGTATGTCTGCTATAGGGCGGTCATGAAGCGGTTACAGAAGAGGTTTGTGTTATGGTGCTGCGTCACTTTAACGGACAATTGCACGGTTATGCAACGCTGCACCAAAATTAAATTTCCATCCTTTTTTTCCCCCACGAATTGGGCTTTCTTTTGGTGGTATTTGATCGCCTGTGCGGTTTTTATTTTTTTTGACCTATAAAAAAAAGACCCGACAATTTTGAGAAAAAAAAAAACAATATTTTGGACTTTTTGCTATAAAACATGTCCAGTAAAAAAAATTTAAAAATCAAATTCGTCAAATTTCGGCCAAAATGTATTCTGTGACATTTCTTTGCTAAAAAAAAAAAATCCCAATACGTGTAAATTAATTGTTTTTTTTTATACTAATAATAGTGGCGATCAGCGTCTTATGGCGGGACTGACATCCCCAGTGACACCAATACAGTGATCAGTGCAAAAAAAAAAAAAACCACTGACAATAATGGCACTGGGGAGGAAGGAGTTAACTTCTGGAGACAATCAAAGGGTTAACTGTGTGAGGGTAGTGTTTTACTAGGGGGTGGGGGTGTGTACCTCTCTGTTACACACTGTTCCTGGAGGCTGTGTCCAGCAATCCCGGAACAGTGAGCTGAAAGCTGACATGGAGGAAAGCTCCATTGAAAACAATGCAGCCTTCCTCTCTGTCTCTGATTGCCGGCCGAGACCCGGTGATTGACACCCTCGACCGCGATCGTTGCCGCGGGTATGGCGGTCACGTGCTTCGCGCGTGCCCCCTATCCCGGAAAGCAGGATCAGGTTTATATACGTGATCCTGCGCACAGGGGCCGCCTTGTAGCAGTATATGTACTGCGGGCAGTCCCCTAGTGGTTAAAACCAGGAAAAAAAATAAACAACACACAACAGAAAGGAGCACCTGACCAAAATCAGATAAAAGATGAATTGAAGATCATTTTCAATAATTGATTTTAAAAAAACAATAAAAACAAAAACAGCCAACGTGTTTTGGGGGCAACATCACTCCCCCTTTTTCAGGGTTCAACGCAGGATAAAACTTGAATGGACTTCACAGATTTATACTGGAACCAGTAACTTTCTTAATAAGAACAACCTGACAGCAGTTTCTGAGCAGCTATTGATGTTAAAAGGGCCACCCACGCCTCACATTGTTGGCTGATTCAGCAGGCATCGCCCAGAATTGGAGTCATGTATGGCTAGCATAGGCCTCCATTCTGTATGCTAGTTGTGGGTCATTGAGCATGACCTTTTAGCTAGACTACCATGGGAGCAGAGGTGACCTGAAATCTGACAGCTGCTGCCAACTTCCTAACCTCAGACTCTGCACTCATAAGTGAGTAAAGTTGGGCAGTGGGCTCACCAGTGACTATTACGCTTTAGCGGATCTTTGACCCTTGCATTGCCTAACCCCAGCACCATCAACAATTGCAAGACTATCCAGGATGCTAAATAGACCCAAAACTTGTAACAAAAGCATTCTGTAAATAAAAATGTAATCTAATCTGTCTTACAATCCATAATCACTACCATAGACAAAAGAAACAAAAAATGCTTTTGCTCTTTTGCTGTCAGAGCTGTTTTTGCATTTTAGTCCTAAAGATTACATAAAACCCCCAACAAAACGTCTTACTTTCTGTCCCCTATGTAATGAAAAAAAAAGTAATAAAAAAAACTTTTTTAATTGTAAAAAATTACAAAAAGTTACACCCAAGCAAATAACATCCCCTGAAACAAAACAAGAAAAAAAAAGTGAGGCCCCCCACCCCCACATATACGCACATACAAACGAAAAAGCACGTGCTGGGGTGCCTACGCATGAAAACATTGAATGCAATACACGTTACAAGTGCAGCCAGAATGAGAGCGATAATTCTAGCACAAGACCACCCCTGTAACACTATACTGATGACCTATAAGGGCTTTAAAAGGGTCGCCTATAGAAAATATCGGGTACTGAAGTTTGTTGCCATGTCACGAGTGCACACAAATTTAAGGTTTGACATGTTGGATATCTATTTACTCGCTGCAACCTTGTCTTTTATATTCCACCAAAAAATAGGGTAATTTATTGCTATTTTGTGCCCTAAAATTAACTTGCGTGTATATTTTACTGAACTTTTGAACTTCCTAGACCTTTGCAGTAATATTGTGTGACATGAAAAATTGGAACTACCACTATCTTATTCTCTAGGGACTCTGCTTTCAGAAAATATACATTTGGGGGGTTTTATGTAATCTTCAGGCCTAAAATCATTTTTTTAAACGGGTGTTTATTATTTATATATAGAGAAAAGGTGCAGCGCTATTAGTATAAATAATGAAATATCAATATTGGTTCACAATAACAATATTGAATCATAATCTTCATAAATTTGTTATTCAATCTAGTGTCCAAAAACACAAAAGAACGTAACGTGCAGATTCTATCCGGTCTCCTTCCTCGATAAGGATAAGTGATCCGAAGGTGAACAGGAAAATAAATGAAATGCGCACTCACCAGAAGTGCGTTTATAAAACGCATGAAAGAAGTTTTCCTTTCTCATCAGATACATCTAAGTCCTCGACTCTCAGGTCAAGCTGCATTCTATGGTCCTCACCATTCATCCATCGTGGCCAGGTTCCCTGATTCCTCAGACACTCATGCACCTCTGGGGTCCCTCCTTAAGCTTGGTACTGCGAAAGGGTGGTGCTCATAAAAGAGCCCAATAAGGGACATCACATAGCGTGATACTGCGTAAAATACTTTATTTCCAAAGCAGAGGTGAAAAAAACGAAGAAACAAAAATCCTGACCTAGTGATTTCAAATAGCCACCAGCGGGGGCTAAGATGTGAAGTGCTGCAGCCCTCTGACGCGTTTCGTGCTATGCACATCCTCAAAGGGTACAGGGCTGCAGCACTTGGACATCTTAGCCACCGCTGGTGGCCATTTGAAATCACTAGGTCAGTATTTTTGTTTCTTCGTTTTTTTTCACCTTTCCTTATTGGGCTCTTTTGTTTATAGCGCAATAAAATAAAAAACCCAGAAGTGATCAAATACCACCAAAAGAAGCTCTATTTGTGGGGAAAATAATGACATAAATTTCATTTATGTAGAGCATTGCATGACTGCGCAATGGTCAATTAAACTAGTAAACTAGCATAGCATAGCAAAAACCAAAAAAAAAAAAAAATGGCATAAATTCTAGTATCTATACCATAGTTTGTAGAGGCTATAAAACTTTCACATAAACCAATTAATATACACTTATTGGGTTGGTTTTTTTTTACCAAAGACATGTAGCAAAATACATTTTTGGCCTAAGTTTATAATGAAATTTGAGTTAATTGGATATTTTATATAACAGAAATTAGAAAATATCTATTTGTTTTTTCCCCCCCAAAAAAATTGTCTTTTTTGTTTACAGCACAAAAAATAAAAAACCCAGGAGGTGATCAAATACCACCAAAAGAAAGCTCTATTTGTGTGAAAAAAGGACATATATTTAGTTTGGGTACAGCATTGCATGACCAAGGAATTACCAGTTGAAATAGCACAATGCCAAATAGCAAAAAATGGCCTGGTCAGGAAGGGGGGGGGGGGGGGGGGGTAAATCTTCCGGAGGGCAAATGGTTACACATGTATTTAATGAAAGCAGTGCAGGAGCGGGTGGACGTTTATAAATGTCCTCCAGCATTCCCTACCTGTGCACGCTCCCTGGGAGAGCGCGGCACCGTGATACGGTGCCCGCTGTGTCGAACACCGATCGCTGTATGGGACCTCTGTGTGAGGTCCCAATCATGTGATCACTGATTGGCCAATCAGTGATCACATGAAGAGTAGTAAGCAAGATGTCACTTCTGACATCATTCACAGATTTTACTAGTAGTAAGCAATGATCACAGAGGTCACATGGTACAAGGCTATTCACAACAGCCTTGTACCATGTGACAAGCTGTGACCAATCACAGCTCACACAGTATTTCTCAATGGCTGCAAGAATGCAGCCAGAGAGGAGAAATGATTGCTTTTACAGCCTTTATAGGTGTAAAAGCAATCAGTGTAAAAAAAATAAATATAAATAATCTTCATCACCCCCCCACAAGTAGTACAAAGTGATTATGGTGACACTGTACCGCTAGGAAGATAGTATTTTAAAAAAAAAAAAATATATATATATATATATATATATATATATATATTAAAAAAAAAAATTAAAATTGTTTTTTAAATTATAATTTTTGGTTATAAAAAACTAATTTAGGTTTGTTTTTTTTTACTAAAAAGATAGCTGAACACATTTTGGGCAAGATTTATGAATAAAGATTGTTTATTTGCAAAATTTTATAAGGAAAAAAAAAACAAAAGTTTTTTTTCAAAATGTTTGGACTTTTTCATTTATATAGCAAAAAAATAAAAATCCCAGTGATGAATAAATACCACCAAAGTAAAGTTTTATCTGTGTCAAAAAATGCTAAAACATTTGTATGGGTACAGTGTTGCATGACCGCGCAATTGTCATTCAAAGTGTGTGATAGCACTGAAAGCTGAAAATTGGCTTGGACAGGAAGGGGGTAAAAGTGTCCAGACTTGAAGTGGTTTAGTATTTTTCACTGGACACAAAATAGGTGCAATCATGTATTCTCTCAGTCATATTTATCCAAACTATATGCATGCATGAAAGCCTTTTAGAAATGTATGAACCAACATGACAGTTTACCTGTGCTGTGTAAATCACTATTGCCCTGTAGGGAGCAGAGATGGATACCATTACTTACCACAGCAGGGTAACACTCATTCGTCAAGCTGCAGTTGACGCTGACTACTTTGCCCAGTAATTCATCTCCAATGCGTTTCACATCATCATCTTCCTCTTCACTGCTGCTGTCTTCTTTCTCATCTTCTGTCCTATGAGGAGACATGAGAACAGGAATACGTTTACATTGCAGGTCAGGGAAGCTATGACATCTGGGTGCTAAATTATCTCTGCAGAGGCTCTCTCAATAAAATAAAACAGAACATCAAACCAGAAAATGACAAATAGTTCAAATATATTTATTATTACGAGTTCTACCTGCCAAAGAATTTGTAATTCTGCTAAGCCAGCCTTATGCAAACACTTATGTCCCATGCATCATCTCTTCACCTGCAGCCTACTCTGATCAATCCACACCACTACCTCGGTCCACTAAGTACACAAGTGACCAGGAAACTGTAAACCTGAGCAGGGCAGTTTTCTGGCTGTGCGTTGTGGCAGTATGTGCATGAGTATCATATGACTGTAGAATAAAACTGACAAGCAAGACCACCTACAGATACGCATTTAGACTGCGTCAATGGAATGTTGACCAAACATTTACATTTCTTTGGTAGAAAGCATCCTTGGAAAACTCCAATCAAATTAAAAAGGATATTATTTTAACATAAAAATTCAAACAACATTTACCTACTTCCCTTACAACAAAAAAAAAAAAACAGGTAATCTGCAGTTCCTTTAAATGTGCCCCAACAGTACATACTCTTCTTTGCTTCGCACCACCACTGCTCCTTTCAGCTATCTCCAACTACGACTGTTCTAGTAGTAGTCTTGGAGGGAGCCCTCGGCTCTGCATAAACTCTGGCTGCACCAACTCGGAACTTACACTGGGCCAAGCTGACACCTGCCATCACAGCGGACGGGCAGGGGAGTAAAGGAGTATGTACAATTGAAGAGGATGAGGGGCATTAAAGTGAACTCAGTTGCTTTGCCACTTACAGACATTCTAAATGCAATCCGTGCAGTTTTTCTTCTATTATATTTGATTATAGCTCCTAGATTATAAGCTCTGAAGGGCAGGGCCCTCGGTTTCCTCTTGTACCAAATTGTACTGTAACGGTTATATCTACCTTCATTATGTAAAGTGTTGAGCAAACTGTTGGCGCTATATAAATTCTGTATAATAATAATAATTAGACAGCCAACAAAGCCAAACAATACTTTACAGGCAAATCCAAAAACTACTAGCAGTGTTATAGTATACCAGCAAGGTGTGTTGAAGCCAAGTGTGGAAACGCTTCGTTGGACCATTAGCTAGGTATCAATAGAGTACCCTAAACATGTGCCCCACTGGTGGCGATTGTTTCTTTGTTGAAAAAGGTTACTTACGTGCAGTGTCTGATGATGATGTCATTGTTGATGTCACTGCTGAAGTTCTGGCAGTGAAACTGATAGTCGGGGCTAGAGGTATAAAGAGACAGAACGCAGAAAAGCTCGCTAAAGCATAGTGAACACAACGTGGTGCTCTATGCACAGCTCCTCCAATTAGAAAACAACTTGTATTTTTGTTTCTGTGATTAGACAAGGGGATATTATGACAGTCAAATACCCCCTGTCCAATCACAAAACGCCTTGAATTCTTTGAAAAGAATACAAGATGTCTTTTGAATGGAGGACCATCAGAGGCTGCATGCAAGTAAGTAGATGTAGAAAAATGCTATAAATATCTCCCCTCCCCCTTTTTTTTTTCAAAGCGATCACATACTCTCTGTTCTCAGCTGCATAAGAAGCTCAGGGAGGAGAAACAGCAACACACTGGTCTTCCCAGTGAATAGCTGAGCAGATGGGGTACAGCAGCAAAAGTCTGATCATTGGAAGAGAAAATTCCAGCACAGCTAGAAAGCTGACCATGCTGTGCTCTCATGCCTAGTATAGTCAGTTTTTAATAGGAAAGCAGAGGGACTGGCAGAGAACAGAATAGTTTTTCATACAAGTACATGGTACAGCAGGCACATATCAGGAATATGAAATGTTGGGTTTACATATTCTTTAAGTGGTTAAGGATTAGAACCCCTTTTAGGTCTGATTGCTGTACAAGGTTAAACAAATTTTCCCTCACTTCCTGTTATGATGACACACTTTTCACCAGACTGAGAAAAAAAAAAAAAAAACTCTCCAAAAGCAACACAGACAGAAGTAATATTTTTAAATTTTTATTTATCTGTAGGAGTGGGGGTGCTCACTGCCAGCTTTTTTTATTGACGGTTTCCCTGTTGCAGAGTTTCCTTCACTTCTTGTCTGGTAAATCGGTGTCACCGGAACAAAAAGGGAGGGTACAACTCTTAACCAAGCCCCAGATAGTAGAGATAGTAGCAAAACCTGACAAGGGATGTAACCTTATCCTATTACATCCCAAATGTAAAAATCACACACACTCTATGATACTTCCTAAAATACATGCAAAGCCGTTGAAAGCATAAAGAAATTGAATTATGCAGAGACACAAGTTACACACAGAACACAAGAAAAGTGTCACAAGAGCCAATCCCCAAAAAAAGATATATGGCAACAATCTATAATTACATGGAATATAATGGGCTTCAGTAGACAAGGGAATAATTGTCATGGTAACATTGTAATTAAACAGTAGCTGACACCATGCAAACAGTGCAGTGGACTGGAATGTCTTAGTCTCTTGGGGGGAAAAAAAAATATAAAAAAACACTTCTTATTAACGGGTGCATCAGGGATTATATTACAGTAACATGTTAACCTTTCATAAACTTATTACAACAAGCAAAATTTACAATGAGTCCTGAAAATCGCAGTGACAGCACCAGCCACCATACATAGAACCCTTTCAGCAGAGAATACTTAATCAGCATACAACCCAATAGATGGCAGTGAAATTCTTAAAAAAAAAAAATATATGAAGGAAAAAAAAAACACAACAGACAAAAAAGGGCATTTCTGTAAAGACACATAAGCTGCACTGTTTTATCAAGCCAAAGGGAGACATTGCCAGCTGTAGACTAAAACAAGTGTTTAAAAGCAGTTTTCATATTTCAGTCTAATAATATACCAAAAACTACATGTGACACCATAGTTATTCACACAATATAATGGTCTCTATAGCACACACTGAATTATATGTGCTTGCAGTACCATGCTGACAGAGAGGTCATAGAACAGCAAACAAATCCTGTAGATGTACAGGGCTTTATATATCATGTCTGCAAGGAGGAGTTTCCAGAACTAACACAATCCAAATGTCATTTTTTTTCCCCCGTCCAGGCTAGAAAATTATCACAATAGGTGGTTGCTATGCCTGTGGCAACATTTTAAAGTAGTTATAATGGAAGAGCCAGGAGTACCTGCAGGGGACCACAAAAGAGGAGTTTTGGGGCCAATCTGTGCAAAATGATTGCACAGAGCAGGTAAGTATGACACAACCGCTGCTCCAAGTATCTATTCACACATGGAGTCACTTGGCCCTGCCCCCTTTCTCTTCTCCAATGGCTCGCACGTCTGTCTCAACCAATGAGGAGAGGGAGTCCCAGGATAGCCAAGACTCCAGTGCACATTACTGGATCGAGAGGGGACTTAGGTGAGTATTAAGGGGGGTAAGAGATGCTGCACAGAAAAGGTTCTTTACCTGAATGCATGAAGGTAAAAAAACCCTGACCCTTTAGAACCACTTTAGGGAGTAGAAACTATCAGGTTTTTATTCAAAATTAAAAATAAATAATAAACATGTTTATACTTACCTGCTCTGTGCGACAGAATTGCACACAGCAGCCCAGATCCTCCTCTTCTCGGGTCCCCTGCCGGCACTCCTGCCTCCTCCCCTTTTGCTGGTGCCCCCAATAGGAAATCGAAAAATCGTTCAAACCCATTTTTAAATAACATACACTCGTGAGAGCAAACGATATTTCCATCATGTAACAACCAAATTTCGAACAATAAATTCTTCAATGGACATTAATGAATCAGTTTTTCGTTTGTTTTGTCACATGTGCGCAGTAAGAACAGTTCAATTTTTTAACAGGAGAGAAACACATTAACCTTTCAATTTATCATCCGTTCAGCAGAAGTTTCCTATTTCCTTCAATTTTTTTGGCTCAAAAAAGTCAAAAATGATTTTCGATTTGTGACCATCAACTGGATGAAAAAACGAACAAAATGTCCAAATGATGGATTTTAGAACAATTTTTCATCTAGTGTAAGGTCATCATAACACAAATCAGAAAAAAATTTTTAGTGTGAGGATTTCCAAATTTCTGTAAGAATATTTCTGGTGGTGACTCCATTGGAGAATTTTAAAGAGTAATGCCACTTTTGATGAGGAAAAAAAAAAACATTCCCCCCTCGGTGATATACGTATATTGCAAGGATTTTAACCACTGGCCGTATATAAACGGCCGGACGGTGGCAGTGCAGGGTCGGGTTGCCATTTATAAAGGGCCTCCCTGCCCCCTGCTTGTGCGCGCTCCCTGGGAGCGCGCAGCACCGCGATCCGGTTCCCGCTGTGTCGTCCGGACAAAGTGGAACACCAATCGTCATACGGGACCTCTCTGCGAGGTCTCGATCATGTGATCACTGATTGACCAATCAGTGATCACATGCAGAGTAGTAAACAAGATGTCACTTCTGGTGTCACTTCTTACTACATGTGAAATCTGTGAATGATCACAGAAGTCACATGGTGACACTGTACTGCTAGGGTGACAGTATGTTAAAAAAACAAAACAAATAATATAAAGAAATAAAATAAAAATGTAAAAAAAAAAATGTTTAAAAATTATAATTTTTGGTTATAAACTAATTTGTTTGTTTGTTTTTTTTTTTTTTACTAAAAAGACAACAAAATAAAGTTTGGCCAAGATTTAGGATAAAATATTATTTATTTGCAAAATTTTATAAGAAAAACAATTTTCTTTCAAAATTTTTGGACTTTTTCATTTACATAGCAAAAAAAATAAAAATCCCAGTGGTGAATAAATACCACCAAAATAAAGCTTTATCTGTCTCAAAAAAATGCTAAAAAATTCATATGGGTACCGTGTTGCAGTGTCCGGCCTGGAAATGGTTAACAAACTTTGTTGCAGATTCCTACCTTTTGTTACTCTGAAGAAGTAGAGGTTTCTCTGTGTTCATGTGCACAGGGAACCTGTATGGGAGTGATTGATTAATATCAATAGCTGCTGCACCTGCAGGGTACTAATGAAGTGGTAGGGTCTGCATCCCTTTAGACGTGATTTCCCACAGGGAGCATTTTAACTGACAGTTTTGTTGATGGCAAAAATCTGACTTGTATCTTAGTGCACACTTCCGGGAAAATCAGTAAGCCAAATCACACAAGCAGGAATTAAAATTTTTACTCTGTGTACAGAACACCTCCAGGTAGCCATATTGCATTTTACAGAAAAAAGGAAAGGTCATTTTTAATAACATCCAATTACATCATGACTTGAATAGCAATTTTAAGCCCTATATTATTTTTTTATTTGCCATTTTTTCCCACGAAAGTAGAGTTACCCTTTAACCACCAACTTGTCCCATACAAGAAGAAATTGGTTGCCACCAGGACAGGAAGAGACAGAAACAATTAGAACACCCTCAGAAATAGCAATCCTACCCCAGACTATTAGGCCTCATGCACACAGGACGTTTAACTCTCCTAGAAGCCAGCAGCGTTTTTGCAAAATGACTGACGCTTGTAAAAGCGCCAACGTTTAAACGCTTGGACGTTAATTCATTTCATTGGCCAGAATAAATATTTTATTCTGGCCATGGAAATGAATTAATGCTCAAGCGCTAAACTTGCCGTTTAGGTGTGTTGAACAGCTTTCAGTAGCATGTGCATGGACACATAGGGATAACATGGAGGGGCATTTAAAAGCAAAAAAAAAAAAAAATGTAATATATCTGCGAGAGGCACACATTTAACTTGCTACTGATGAGAAATAGGCACTATGTTGCTCTTTTACTGCTCAGACTTTTAGATAAAAAGATGCATGTGATTGTAGCATTACACAATGCCTACATGCCCACCCAAACAGTACAGAATGACAAACAAATCTGTCTAAACTCACACTGGAAGGGACGACCGTCTTCCCCTGTTGGATTTCTTCCCAATGACCGGAGTGCCAAAGTGCTCAGGATTGGTTAGCGGAAGCTGGTCTAAAGTCTGTTCAACAGAGATGCAGAAATGTCAACATTAACATTAACACATGTAACAAGCAGAAGAAGAGAACGTCGTTAGTGTTACCTCACTCTCTGCAAAGTGCCTCTCCCCCTTCAAACATAAAGAAGTCCGTCTTAACGTTCTTTCATCACCATCATCAAACACTACAAAACAATACAACATGTTAAGGACTTGTTTATCTGTGAAGGTTAGTGTCCGTACTGGATAAGCTTCAATGAGGGACACGGTTTCAAAACGCACCATTTACCTGTTTTGGTTCCCTTTTAAACCTTATTGAAGTGTCATTGTATTCATCAATTTCTTTGCTGCAAAGGTGTGAGAGCTGTGGTGCAGAAAAATGCATACATGTTGCAGGTTACCACGCCACAGCGCTTCACATCTGCTGCCTGGATTACAAGGTGAACAGGGCCCTGAATGCCCTTATGGAGACCAGCATTTTTCAAGTTCAGAAAACCGCTGAGCCGTCAACAGTTAAAACAAGCTGCCTACATTACTGCATACTACAGTAACCCCCATACACAAGGTAAACAATGAATATGTATTATGAAAACACACCTAGCAAAGACTTCACATTGATCCTTCTTTATCACCTCGGTGATTTACGCACTGCGGTTTATATATGGCTGAAAAAAGGTGCATTTATTTTTTTTTTTTTTGGTTTAGTTTTTTTTAGCATTACACCAAATTCAAGAAGCCAAAAACCAACAGTTTTCACATCAGGGCCAAGCCTGAAGTTTTGATAGCACATTCCTCTTAAACGCATGCAATCCTTTTACTTTATCTTAGTGAAGTTTGCAGCATGCAGCACACATTTTTCAAACTAGTGCATTAAAAACCGAAGACGTTATAAGATAAAGTAAAAGAGGATTTTGTGGTTTTTGAAACACACATTATCAAAGTTCGGTACAACAATGTTTCTGTACGACAGCACCAATTTGGCTTTTCAGATATTCAACCCAGCAATGATACTCACCCACAGTGTACCAGCTGGCATCTGTCAGCTTACTTATAACTGCTTCCTGCAGAGACCCATCAGGTGCTTTCATTTCCACGGTAGCTCCAACCTACATACAGAGAAGTTCACATTAACATGACAGCCTTTCTAAACTTCCAGAATCACTATGGGCCTTATTTATCAAGCTTTCAAGGGGAAGTTGTACTTACACTGCAAGGGTTAAATGCTTGTTTTTTTGTCCAGGGGAACATTAAGAAGCAGCTTTACTTACCTTGTCCCTTTGCTCTCACAGGCTCCTTCCAGCTGCACAGCCGGTCACCCAAAGCCGCTTCTCTTCACTACTGCTTGCAGGCACTCGGACGTCACCGCGTACAATGCAGAGCTAGCAGTCCTGCATGTAAGTGAGGTCACCAAGGTCTTGCCCACAACTGGAAGCATCAGAGAAGAGGAGAGTGCCAGCTGCAAGGGGTAGCGAAGGATAAATTAAGTAAAACGTTTTAAAAATGTTCACCTAGACAAAAAGGAGTATTTAGCTCTTGCAGGATAGGAGGAGCCCCACTGCAAGGGTTACTTTGGAATTTCCTTGGAGTTTAGCTTTATCAAAACAGCTACAGAGTTTGGCAGATATACAAATTAGCTGATCTTCAAATTGTTCTGCTTAAATGGTTTAGATGTCTGAGCACACCCTGATGCAAAATCTTTTTGTTCTACTTTTTTTTTTTCTTTAACTGCACTGGCGTGAAGTATGGCTATTGGAATACATGGAAAACACTGTGCATACTTTTTGATGCAGATTAAAAATGCATTGGAATGCTGCTTGTGTGAACCAGCCCTAACGCAAAACCCTGAAAAATTAATCTTTTGCTTTCAATACCACCTGTCAAATAGAAGTGCAATCAAGACATGACGGGGCTGATTTACTAAAACTAGAGCATGAAAAATCTGGTGCAGCTCTGCAAAGAAACTTATTAGCTTCCAGTTTTTTTGGCAAAGCTTGAACAAGCTGACTGGCTACCATGCACAGCTGCACCAGATTTTGCACTCTTCATTTCTAGTAAATCAACCCCAGTGTGTCTAGGCACTCTTGTTCTGTAGTCTATAACTGCATATCTGCTGTGTGATATCAGTCTGAAGCACTGCTGCCTCCAACAAGTAGTCTTGCAAGTTTTGAAGTGAGATTTGGTGATGCCAATTCTATGCTACTCATTGTTCTTCTGAATGCTAGCTGCAGAGAAAGTGGCCCCTGCGAACATTCAGTGTACGCATCTCTATGCCTTTGCTTTGGCCACACAGAGACACAAGGTGAAACAAGACGTGATAAGTCAGTAATGGGGAAAAGGTCAGCTGCAGGGGGACCACACGCAAGACTGGTGACTAGACCTTATGCAGGCCATACATGGGTCGAATTCCGAACGATTTTTTGTCTGAAAATCGAAAACGTTCACTCGGAAATCCGATGGTGCAATCAATGATTTTGAAAATCGGCCGACCTAGTCATAAAGTTCACCCCATATAACAGGTGAAATTTCTGTTCCTTCCAGATCATGGCTCATTTGCATATTCTTTTCGGAAAAACGATCGTACGATTTGACCATCGAGTCAAAATTCAGTTGTTTTTCACGAATTTTCCAACATGCACGATCACCGAAAAGGGGAGGAACCATGAAAATCGGCCAGTGCGATTGACACTCTAACAGCAAAAATCGGCCGATTGTTCTTAGGTCCGATTTTCGGACGAAAAAATCGGTTGAATTTCGACCCATGTATGGCCAGCATTAGTCCTCTACTTTTTTTTTTTCCTCCGCACACAAACACAGAATGCTCTCAGAAACAAATACTAGGGTGGGATATTATCAACAGTATAGACAGGAATGACCCTGGAAAACAATCCCATGCCATTTCTGCCAATTATGTCCCAAGAGTGCACAATATGCAAATAACTATAAAAAGCAGCTCACCACCTGTTTAACCGCTTACCTACAGGGCACTTATACCCCCTTCCTGCCCAGGCCAATTTCCAGCTCTCAATGCTGTCACTCTTTGAATGACAATTGCGCGGTCATGCAACACTGTACCCATATGAAATTTTTATCATTTTTTTGTGACAGATAGAGCTTTATTTTGGTGGTATTTAATCACCTCTGGGTTTTTATTTTTTCTTAAACAAACCAAAAACCACTGAAAAGTTTGGAAAAAAAAATATTTTTTCTTAGTTTTTGTTATAAAATTTTGTAAAGTGATTTTTCTCCTTCACTGATGAGCGCTAATGAGGCTGTAGTGATGGGCACTGATAAGATGCACTGTTGGACACTGATAGGTGGCACTGATGGGCATTGACAGGCATCACTAATGGGCACTGAAAGGCAGCACTGATATCTGGCACTGATAGGCGGCACCGACGGGTGACACTGAAGGGCAGCTCAGATGGGCACTGATACATGGCATTGATGTGCACTGGTAGGCACTGATATGGCACTGGCACGTGGCACTGTTCAGCACTGACAGCTGGCACTTCTGGGGCCACACTGATCATCAGGGCACACGGATCATCAGTGCCCTGATGATCAGTGTACATGTCCCCTCCGTGGAATGCCGATTACCAGCTCTCCTATCCTCTCGAGCTGTCAGCGTGACAGCTCGAGAGGAGAGAAATGCCGATAACCAGCATTTCCCTGTTTACATGTGATCAGCTGTTCACATGACCGAGCCGACATCTTCAGCTCTTTCCGTGGATCGGTTATCCGCTGTGTCCAAGGGACACAGAGCACTGCCGATCGCCGCGCGCTCCCTGAGTCACGCATGTGTGGTGAGAATGGAAGGCCATCAAAAGACGGCCTATCAGAACGAGAGAACCACCTTGCGCCCGTCATTGGACTATATAGCGGGCGGGAGTTAAATGAGCCGTAACAGCAGTCTAAAAAAAGTTACATACTTGCTTAATTTTTCTTTTGCCTGCACTAGCTACCTAGCGCTTGCAGTAATACAGAGTTTCATGAATAGTGAACTTATAATGAAGGGGGGAAAAAAAAAAAAAAAAAAAAAAAAAAAAAAAAAAAAAAAAAGGTACATACCCGTAAAGGACCTTTCACCTGGTCATCCTGAACTAGTTGGGTAGAGTTATCTTGTTTAAGGGTAACCTAAAAAACAAATGTTAAGACATTTAAAAATGGGACACATGCACTTTAGAGACAATGTACTTTAGTGACCATGCAGGTGACTAAAAGCTTAGTAACAGCAAAGCATCTGAAGGTTCTGAAATAGAAAGGTTTCCATTACTGTAAATCTCTGACTGTGATGACAAAAAACTTACAAATATTGCCAATAATTTGGACAGGACTGCAGGTAAGCCCAATTATCTCAAGCGATGGAGATATCCAGAATATACTTCTGTTTTGGGATCCACTGGTAGTTAGAGCAGTTCTGATACACTGGCATAATAATTCTTGTCTACTCCCATATGTATCAGAAATCCATCAATGTGCGCACACGCACACACCTTTTTTAAAACTTTCAATGAATTCCCAAAAGGATCTTATAATGAGCACGCCCCACCATAAAGAACTGATGTTATACAGGGTATTGGCAATCTAACCCATCTGCTAATGGTATTTACAAGGATAGGTTAGCTGACCACACGAGTGGTTCTAAAGCCAGAAGTATTTTTTTTTTTTTATCTTCATGCATTACCTGCATTAAGGTAAAAAAACAAAAACCCTTACACTCATTGTTCCTCCCCAGCCCCCTTTAAATACCTACTCAAGTACTGGATTGATCCAGCACTGTGCCCATCTGCAGCAGCCCTGGTTCCTTCTCTCCCTTCTCACAGGCTCAGAGACAGCAGCGCCATTGGTTTCAGCTGCTGTCAATCAAATGCTGTGAGGAAGGAGCTTAGGGTGGGGCTGAGTCGCACAGTGTGTGTCAATAAATGCGCACAGCCTGCCACTAAGGCAAGCCCGTAGATGCGCTGCTGTAAGAATTGGCTTTCTTTGGTGGCACACCGAGAAGAGGAAGGCCTAGAGCACCAGAAGAGGAGATTCAGGGCCACTCTATGCAATACCATTGCACACAGAAGGCAAATATAACATGTTTGTTATTTAAAAAGAAAAATACCCATGGCCTTTAAAATATTTAAAAATGTTAAATTGGCAAACTGCTGCATAGGGGCACCCTCCTCTTTAACAGTTATCAAAAAACATTTTTTCTTTTTTTTTTTTTTTTAACTGTGACGATAACAGGAATAGAGGGGAAGGCTTTCAATGGGAACACCTGTTGCAGTTACAACTGCCTAAAAGAGGAAAAACGGAGGGTCACTTTGAAGGGAAGGGAAATCTTTTGAAGGGGGGGGAAAAAAACCCAAAAAGGTTTTAACCTTCCCTGCTCTAGATAAAATGTAGGAACACTATATTACTTTATTCTATGTAGATCATAAACAAACTGAACTCTGAAAATTAAGAAGAACACTAGAGTAAATTGCCTTGTAACAGTAGATATGCATTATACATCCTCTGACATTTTCTCTAATTATCTGACATGTAGGTCATTTGATTTAGGTCTACCCAGCTAATGCAGGACTACAGATCCCATGAGTCCCTGTCGACCATGAGCAAAATGATAAAATTAAGCAATGCCCAAGCACTTGAAGTACAAACCACAATGAATAGTTTATCTAATAAGTGAGAAAGAGAGAGAACAAACTATCTCCAGCTTTGGGAGGGTTAAGCAACTATTGATGGGGCTTTTTTTTATAGCAAGGTAAATGGCAATGTACAAGTACAGTAACCTATACCTTGTAATGGGGTCTTTCAATAGCTTTCTCTAAACTGAAGAAAAGTGAAGTTGCATTCATTTTTATGGCATATCTGCCTTGTTAAGCAAATCAGTTCAGAAAGAAAAATGATTGGGCCATCACATTTCCTATTCTGACATGTTCCCTTTAAAGCTGAACTACAAGAAGAGATAAAAGATAGAAAATAAATCATATATAAATTTTTTTTTCAAAAACTGCAAGATGTGTATGTACCTTAATTTGACATGATATCCGTCTCCTGCAGCCCATGTAGAGCAGAGCTTAGACTGGAAGAGGGAAACTCAGAACAAGGAGCCAAATAAATTGTGCTGCAGTGCTCCTGTGCTAACAAGGAGTATGCTAATAATAAAATAGAACAGATGAGCCCAGTCTGATGTTTTCCTTTCACTGTCCAATCACAGGCTGTGGGAGGAACAAAACCTGTAAGAATCACTTATCTGCAGGGGAGAAACGGTTTTCTGCCGTGTCAAACACAGGGCGGTATATATTTCAGAACTGGATGGACAGATATACAAATATTTTGGCAGTTTAAAAACAGCTGCCCTATAGGTCTTTCATCTCTGTAAATACTTGTCTGGAGTTCAGCTGTAAAGAAAAATATCAGTTCAGAGAAGTGATATCTGGGATCTAGAGCGAGATCTCCTCATAACTGCTGAGGCAGGTGTACAGGTCTCTCCTGTGGGGTCCATCATATTTAGCACTTTTCAAAATCCCAGTTTGCTCAGACTGACCCTAGAAACCTGAATATCAAAATCGGCCTCCAAAACTCAAATACAAGGACAATAATGAGTCTGAGATTTTGTTAATAATAACATAACACAAAAACAAAGAAAAAGTGTGAGAAAAACTAATTTTCTCACGCAGTGCACAATTAAAAACGCAACTATCCATCTCCTTCATCAACTGAAAAAAGTCACAGGAAGTGGTTTTACCTCCACAGCTAAAATTTAATAAGAATTGATGCCCCTTTAGACATACACAGCATTAATGCAAAGTTGAAATAAGATAAGGTAGGCAAAGAAATCCATGAACCATTATAATAAAGTAAATACGAAACATTTTTCATTTATTGAGAAACATACCTTGACCTTTACCAGCCGTTTCACGGTTTTAATCTTTGCCTCGCAGAAGGCACCCCGGTATTTAGCACTGACATCAGTTCCCACTGTTAGGTAGGCAGGCTCATCAGCTGCCTAAAAAAAAAAAAAAAAAAAAAAACATTCAACACAGAGTAATGGTGACTGCAGTAAAAGTGAACAAGTAGCCACAAATGACTTTTACTCTGAATGAACATCCTATTTAGTGTTACAAGCCAGTTTTATAGAGTGCTAAAGTACGGAAATATTAAATAAAAACACATGGCACAGCTTCTATGCCACTGCTCTTACAATTCTTCATCTCACAAGAACTCTTAGAAATAGGGGGGGAAGAGAGGGTTGCCACTGTTCTAAAGTGCCATGCCAAACAGTTCACAGAAAGGTACCATAGAACTATGGCTTGAGAGCAAACAAGTGACTGATCTCCAAATTGTCCATTAACCATCTCCATGCAAAACTATGGAGAGGATGTACCCTGGCAAAGTCTGCTCCTTGAAAATGACAGTGGGCTCCAGAACGCACAGCAATCATCTGACAAGAAGCATACCAAGCCAAAACTAATAAAACAAACAGGCTGGAAAATGAAGCAGCACAAAGAGCAATGATAATGTGCTAAGAGTAGTAATACAAAGACCAATTCTCAATAGTCACTGAAAACACAAGACACTGGCGGGAATTAAAATAAAACTTTACTGTTGGCAGTTTTCTTTAGAACTACCTGTGCCTATTTCAGGCAAGCATTTGGACCAGGTTCTGGAACATTACAGACATGATAAATTTAGATAATACTAACCACCTAGTTAACAAAACTGCCACCGTGGCAGCAAGTTCATCAGTAGGCAGAGTGGGGTATGTCTGTGCTGGGGAGCTGTCATATATGTGAGCTCTATCCCCAGTCCCATCCATCCAGGTAGCGCTCTGAAGAAGGAGTGACCAGTATGGACATTCTGACCTCAGTGCCGGAGACCATGAGATTCATCTACCAGTCTGTGACAGATACATTATTCGGTCATAAACACCAACACCTTTGGTATGGCAGCCAATGGAATTCTAAAGGGTGTATATGACACTCTTCATGTATTCCCCAGAACATGCCTGACTTCTTGCTATAGATTTTTACTCTTTACATGCACCACTTTTACTGAATAAGTCTGCATTTAAAGGAAACCTACACTAAAAGAAATGCAGAGGCTGCCATTGGTGGCCTTCTTTTGAAAATTGTAGTACTCTGGCTATTTCTGGCTTTATTACCTGCCAAGTCATTGAAGGAGGGCAAGCATGCAAGTCAGAATTCCAAATCTTCACGTTTTTCTCATTAATGTTAATGTCAATGAACCAGCATGACAGCCAGGCAATTAGCATTTTTGGAAGAGGTCACCAAAGACAGCTATTACTCTCAGTACAGATTTCCCTAAACACCCCTTTACAGGCCAACTGCACCGCACATGCCACTTGCCTAAATTGTATTACTATGATAATAAAGTGTATGTAGGTGGCTTTTTATGTGTTATAGTCTCACTATGAACAGGACACTGTTATTTTCCATTTCCCCATTACAATAATAAAGACATTGTCAGGAAAAATGGCTAATCATAGTTAACACACACCAAATACACAATGTAAATACTGATCACAATTAAAAGAAACTATCATTAGAAAAAAATTGATGCTATTGTTGCACTCGCCTTCTGAAAAGGATTGCTGCCTGGCTGTCATGCTAACCCAATACTGCTTAAGTTACAGACCTGTAACAAGTTTGCAGATAGGGATTCTTCATTTTTCTTTGACTTCCTGATCTGCATACATGTTTTGGGCCCCGGACTCTGAAAGTACTAAAGCTAAAAAGGAGTGCACAACATCCAAGAAACTAGCATTTTCTGAAAAATCCAGAAAGACACATTTCATGGAAAGTTTACTTTAATAATGAGACCAATCAGCATGCGTATGCAATCACTGCCTGACAAGGGTTTGCACAAGTGTGTTTCTCTGTGCAGTAAGTGTCAGCACCTTAGCCTTGCACTGATAGAAGTGCTGCAACTCTTTTTTTGAATGGGAGTACCTATACTTATTATCTGGCAAATCTGCCTAGTGCCATGAAGTCAACATAAATTCATAGTAACCATTATCTAATGACATTCTTATATGCAGGAGATTTAATTGAGGGCCAAGTTTAGTTAAATGCCAACAAACTTCGCAGCATGTTTGGAGACTGTCAGGAAGTAAGATTTCTCAAATAAAGAAGACAAAAGCATAGAATATAAACAAACTCTAAGCAGATCTTTGAGCAACTAAAAAAAGGCAGCAAGAGATGAGGTGCCCACAGCAATCCCAATCATCAATGATCATATGTCTGAGGGCACCTAAAGAGGCGGCAAAAGGTAAGGTACCCACAGATATCTCCAGAATACATACAAACTCTTTTTGCTGCTTACCATAAAGCACACATAAGAGTTGGGGGTTGCTGCACCTTACTATATATTGAGACTTAAGGGCTTCATGCATGAGAAAGCATCATGTAGTGTTAAAATAGAATTTTTTTAATTATTATTCATAGATTTATTTTTTAATATATAAATATGTTTTATTATTTGTTTTACCATCAAGAGCCTCGACATGAAGTTACACACATGAATTAGTTTCCCAAACAATTTATTTAATTTATACTTTAACATCATACAGTACACTACAATATGATAATTGAAGTGCAATAACAAATAAAAAAAACAAAAACAAAACAATAATAATAAGGGTTAAGACAACTTCTGGTTTGACATAGAACATTTGTTGGTGCAGAAACAGCCCACGATTATTATTATTTTTTTTTTTTTTTAAACGATTTAATCCTCTTTGGCTTTTGACAGTTCATATAAAAATAAACAAAGGATTTGTCAAGAGTGTGGAATGGACACCTATTTTCCTAAACAACTAGCCAAATACGGGGAAAAGGTGCTTGACAAAATACTGTTCCAAAACAATAAACAACCAAAAAATATTCATAAGCTTGATGTTATTCATGTTATTTTTACAAGAAAGCAGCTTAATTCTCAACAAACTTGGTGAGGAAATCTAAACTACACTATTGTATTAAAGGGCGAAGGTAACCCCACTGGAACTATGATGCTCATGTAAAAAGGTGACTGTTGCAAAAACTCTCCCCCCAGACTGCAATACAATTCTATATAAACTTGGGTACGAAAGTAAACAAATTGTATCAGGATAATTAAGAGCATCAGATTATCAGCTATAGTTTAGAAGGACAATATAGCAAGTTAAAGGAGTGCTTTAATACAGTCAAAATCTCACTTAAAGATGAGCTCCAGTCTCCTATGTAAAAATGAAAAGAAAAAAAAAAGTCAGCAGCTACAAAACTGTAATTGCTGACTTTTAATAAACAGCACCTCACTTGTCCAGTGTTTCAGAGCGGTTCGGCTCAGCAGTTTTCAACCTCTGTGTCTCTCTTCCCAGCGCCAGCATCTTTACTATGGGCACCCAGCTGTGATAGCCTGCGGCTTCACAGCTGGGTCCCCATTGCACATGAGCAAGTGGTGCTGCGCAACGCAAATAGTCCAGCAGTCTTCTGGAACCTGTCACGTGCCCCAGCAGACTGTGGGAGGAGAACTTCTGCTTCTGATTGCCTAGGCGATCGTAGCCAAAAGGGGAAGAGGGTCCCTGTCAAAATCGGGTGCCTGCTCCCACCTCCTCCCCCCAAAAGCTTAATTTCACAAACAGGAGCTGTGGAGGAGGCCTTAAAGTGGAACTTCCCCTTTTGGGTGGAGCACCGCTTTAACTTCCTGACTGTTTTACACTGAAAACTGCTCAAAATGATAAGCAAAAAACCGACTTTCTATGGCTGACCTAGGTTTCAACTGAGACCAATGCAAGATACCCGACTGTTTTAGATGTGTTAAAAATACAAAACATTTATTACACCTGCACTACTGCAGGATAGATGAATCAAATCAGACATGCAACGTGTATTGATGGGTGTTATTCTGCACGTTAACACGTGTTGCAACAAACCACACCAAAGAAATGCATGAGTTTTTGTGCATTGGCTCTGCAATTCCCCAAAAAAAAAAAAAAAAAAGAAAGAAAGAAAACCCGCACACATGTATTTTTTGTGCACTGCAGGAAGGCGCATGTTTCTACAGTGAACAGATGTGAACTGGGTCTTAGCTTTAAAGGCCAAGTACACCTTTAAAAAAAAACAAGAAAAAAAAAAAAGGCACTTTTTTTTTTTTAAGTTATTTTTGCATGAAAAAAAAATGTGCATTTCAATTTTTCTTTCCCATAGGATCCTGCCAAGCATTGCACCCATGATCAGTGGATTGTGAGTGCAAAGCCAGGCTCCTGCAGACTCATTTTCCAGGTTCCTGCCCAACGTACAAGATTTCAGATGAAAAGCTAAAGGAAGTGTTAATGGACTAGAGAAGATCACAACAATTGTGTTTCAATAGGAACTACAAGTCTGTCTGCCGTGAGTGCAGTTCATTCATTCACAGATCTCTGACCTGTGCAGCCACGCTAATTTCAAAAGTGACAGTGACTGTGGAAGAATCACCCGACCAGAATGTTTAAAGGATAAGTTCACCTTTTAGTAAAAAAAATAATAAATGCACATTTTTTTTTGCAGGTGAAAAAAAAAAAAAGTGCATTTATTATTTTTTTCTGCAGGAGCCTGTAAAACATTGCACCAGCGATCAGCAGATTGCTGGTGCCATGCAGGTCTCCTGCAGATCTCTCAGAATATCATCTGCTTGCTCATACGGGATGTATGAGCAAGCTGATTTACTGACCAGAAGAATCAATGAACTACCATGGCGCTCCACAGAACCATGGTAGTTTATTGAGGACTACAAGCTGACAGCCGCCAAGGCTGCTGAGACTTGTAGTCTTTCATTCACAAAAAGCTGTGAAAGAGTGATGTGGCTGGATGGGCGGTGCCCCGCACAGCCACGTTTGTTTTTTTTTTTTTTTTTTAATTTGACAGCTAGTGGGGGGGGGATCCCCCGCTAGCTGTCAAAGCGGGGATTGGGGGCTGGTCAGATCATAACATCCTAAATATGGGTGTGACATGTAACGAAAGGTGAACTTAT